AGCCCTCAATTGGTTCAGATCTTACCTCGCTGACTGATCCTTTTGTGTTTCCATCAAAGATTTTAATTCTCTAGTGGCAGAGCTTAAATGGGGGGTTCCACAGGGGTCCATCCTGGGTCCCCTCCTATTCTCTTTATACTTGCTGCCACTTGGGGCTATATTCCGGAAACACAACAGACTCTTTCACTTCTACGCCGATGACTGTCAAATTTACTTCCCCCTAAGACACAATGATACATGCTCTATTCAACCTCTGCTCGACTGCCTGGCTGACAGCAGGGACTGGATGGCTTTAATTTTTTTAAGTTTCAATGAAAAGAAGTCTGAAGTCATGTTGTTCCCTCCCAATGACACGATCACGAACTACTGCATCGACCTTTCCACTCTAGCCCTGTCAAAAAAACAAAGAGTCACAAATCTGGGAGTGATAATGGACCCTTCTATGAAAAGTAACAGTCAGGTAAATATGATTGTTAAATCCTGTTTTTTCCAACTGAGGCGATTTTCTAAGCTGAAGCCCATATTGTCCAAAAATAACCTGGAGACAGTAACACATACATTCATTACATCTAGGCTTGATTACAGCAATTCGCTCCTGTTTGGTATCAGTCAGACCTCCATTGCACAACTACACAACTGGTCCAGAATGCAGCAGCCCGATTTTTAAACAGTGCAGGCAAAAGAGAGCACATTACACCAGTTTTGGCCTCCCTGCACTGGCTAACGGTTCACCTTCGAATCCAGTTCAAAATACTCCTGTATGTCTAGAAAATCACTGAACATTTTCGCTCCCCCCCATCTCTCTTATTTGCTACAGCTGTATGTCCCACCACGTTCTCTGAGGTCAGCAGACCAGTTGCTCCTCACAGTTCCAGGAACTCGTCTTAAGCGCAGAGGTGACAGGGCCTTCTCTGTAGCAGGCCCAAGACTTTGGAACGAGTTACCTCTGCTTGTCAGACAGGCCCCCCTCTTTCGGTTTTCAAATCCCGTTTGAAAACCCACTACTATTCCGTAGCTTTCAACACCATATGATCTGTGTTTTGAACCTGTATGCTTCACACTGGTTAGTCGTTATATTTATTATCTGCAACGTTTTTATGTCTATATTCTGATTTAACTTCATTTTGTATGTTGCTTTGTGTGTTGCCTGGGGGATTCTATAATTGGACATACATTTGGTGTCCAGGGTCAATATTTTTGGTCTGCTTTGTTGAAATGTTTTCTTTTTTTTTAATCTTAATAATTTCTTGGTTATTTGTATGGATCATAATATGTCACAATTCATAACATTGATATATTTACATTTAAATGTGTTTTATATAGTTCAATAAACAAAACTTCTTGTTGTCCGAGTTGGTCACTGTTTTTTCCCCATCTTGGAATATGATGGAAAAATGTTTATTGGGGGCTGCCATGCAAATGCATGGCAGGCACCTATTATTCTACACCTCTGAAGTGTGTCTACATTTCTATCTCCGTTAATGCGGCCCGAGCCACAATGTCTACACCAACAAAAGTTATATCAAAATGACTGGCTCGGCCATGTGATGTGTGCAATTACTTTTATTGGCATTTTGAGATACCGTGGCGACGTAATTTGCAAACAAAGACGCAATATTTCACCAACTCCAGGAAGTAGTTGGTGACTGCCCACTTATTATTCTACACCTGAAAAGCGTATCTTTTTCAACTTTAATAATAATAATAATGTTATCACAATCTCAGCACTGCATGTTTCCATACAATGGCGAAATTAGTCTCTGCATTTAACCCATCCACCACCAGGTGGTGCAGTGGGCAGCTATTGAAGGCGCCCGGGGGGCATTTTGGGGATGAGGTGTGCTGCCCAGAGACGCCACGTGATGTGCAGTGACTGGGGATCGAACCTGGGACTTTCGGGTCCCAAGCCGGCTGCCCTGCCTCTACACCATCTCGGCCCCCATCTTGATGCGGCCTGAACCGCAACCTGGACCCTCACAAAAGTTATATAAAAACGACCGGACCGGCTACGGGCTGCTGCCAATTTTAAAATTTGATCAATAATTAAAATTCTTATTAATTATTATCACGAATACTTATTAATAATTAACATTAATATTGCTATTAATTCAAATTCAAAAATACTTTATTAATCCCAAAGGGAAATTATTTCTCCTACTCCGCTCCTGTTTCCTGGAATATCTTACAAAAAGATTTGAAGCTCTCGACCTTGACCTCTCTAAGTGTCTTTAAGAATCTGTTGGACTCCTGGCAGGGACCAATGCTGACATGTTCCTGTTTTTAGTTTTCTACATTTGTCTTGGAATCTAGCTGTTTTTTGTTTTGTTACCTTTTTCCTTTTAGCCATCCTATTTGTTAAAAAAAACAAAAAACAAAAAACTGTAGTATGAGTTTTTATAACTGTTTATTGTTGTTGCTGTTGTCCATTGTTGTCATCTTTCTTTGTTGAAATCAGGTCTCTCTTGTAAATGAGTCCTCGAGGCTCAATGGGATTTACCTGTATAAATAAAGGTTGATTGATTTGTTGTAGTAACTCGTTATCCTCATTTCATTAAGAGATGTTATAGATACTGATGGCTGTAAACAGGAAAAATCTCTTGTAAAGGTCCATCCCACAGTGGATCCTAAGAAACTGGCTGCAGATGCCGTCTGATCCGTCCACCCAGACTTGACTGGCTTCTTGGTTCCCACAGGTTGTAGGACCGCCCGAATGTCGGACATAACTCCTCCCAGAGCAATGGCCACTCCTCCCAGCAGCCTGCCGAGCTCCTCGTCACTGCGGACAGCCAGCTGTAGGTGCCGAGGGATGGTCCTGTCCTTCTGCTGTCATGAGCCGTGTGTTCTGCTAGTTCCAGAATCTCAGTGGTCAGGCACTCGAGTACAGCCAGCAGGTAGATGGGAATGCATCTACGGCGCCTCTTTTTGAACTCATTTGAGATTTGGGGCTGTAGTTGAGATATTATTTGACCTTTCGAGATGTTAATCAGCTGCTGTTGGTTGTAGAAAACTGCCTTGTTGCCATGGTTATGCATCATAACAAATGTCCAAAACTAAAAAAGTTTCAGTAATAATCCTTCCAGCTGCACAGCATCCGATACCAGAGGAAACAATCATTAAAAAAGTGACTTACATCCAGAAAAAGATGAATTAAAGTTTCCAAAAGCAAAATCTCAGAATGAAAGTAACAGAGTTGCTCCAACATGCAGCCACCTTGAGCGGCGCAATTCTAGAACAAATGATAATGATATTATCACTATATTAATGATATTCATATTGATAATTTATATTAATTATTCATATGAATAATTATTGATATTATTGATTATTAACATTGTTAATTAATAATTTGTGTTCATTATTATTATTACTACTTTTTATAATAGGTCATATTAGTTGCCTTCCATGCATTGCATGGAGGATGCATGCATGCTTCGCAAGGCAATGCACTGTCTTGTATGTTGAACCAAAATGGCTCCATATATTACTCAGTTTCTGTGAAGAGTTTTCTCATATTCATTTCTTGTGGGAAATTTGGCATCTTTGTTAGTAAGATATGTTGCCATGATAACTGTGAATGCCAAGAAAAGAAATTGCACACTTCCCGAAGCAGGGCCGGTCGTTTTGATATAACTTTTGTATGGGTCCACATTGCGGTTCAGGCCGCATTAAAGTTGAAAAAGATACGCTTTTCAGGTGTAGAATAATAAGTGGGCAGTCACCAACTACTTCCTGGAGTTGGTGAAATATTGCGTCTTTGTTTGCAAATTACGTCGCCACGGTAACTCAAAATGCCAATAAAATTAATAGCACACATCACGGGGCCGAGCCAGTCGTTTTGATATAACTTTTGTGGGTGTAGACATTGTGGTTCGGGCCGCATTAACGGAGATAGAAATGTAGGCACACTTCAGAGGTTCCAAAAAGACCCAGCACAAATTCCAGAGGTCTCAAAATACCACTCAAAACAAATTAAGACCAAGAAGCTGTTATTCACTGGGACAATCAATCAACCTTTATTTATACAGGTAAATCCCATTGAGCCTCGAGGACTCATTTACAAGAGAGACCTGAAACAATCAAGATGTTGTGGGGCAATGGTGTATCTTGCAATATGACGTCTACCCAGGGACCATCCTAGAAGTCAGTGACACACATGTGAAGGTGAAGTCCATGCACAAAGTTGGAAAGAACTACTTTTTCTGTCCAGCATGAGAAGATGTGTTGTGGTATCCTTGTGAAGATATCATAAGATTGATTCCATCCCCAACCAAAGTTGGGTCTCAACATGTGGAAATCAAGAAAGAAATATGGGCAGGCATTTCACAAGAATAAATATAGGCGTATATTCTAATTAAACCTTCAAAGGAAAGTATTAGTTACAATGTCCTCCATTTTGAAAACTTCTTAAGTATCAACAGGACTAAATACTCTTGTTTCTACTTTTTATACTACCACGTGTCTTTTAAACTGCTTTACACAACTCTGAATCCTTTAATCCTTTAATGGCTTCATAATTGCTTTTTAATACTATTTTCTTACCTGATTTTGAAAAGATTTATTTCACGAGTTAATGTTAAAAAAATAAATAAAATCCAACTCCAATGTAAGAAATTGTTATTGTCCTGTAAATTCTGTTACTAAGGTCAACTCTGTTACTTCAGTGGTCAACTCTGTTTATTAATAGTTTTCACAAAAAGAAAAAAGAAAAGAAAACTGTTTTTAATATTCTATACATTGTTGGTTGACTTTGCCTGTGTTATAGGTACAAATAGTAAAAAGTAAAAATAATATGTAGCAAATGTTTGACAAAAAAAAACACATTAACAAAGTTAACATATTTTCAATAAAATACCTGAAAAAAAATATTGGAAATTAACAGTTTTTTTTTTTTTTCAAAATGCCAAATGTATCTCCAATTATATATTTTTATCGGAAGTTTTTAACAGCGTTTTGGCTGGAAAACCTCGACTCTATCTGGCAACACCGATAACGGTCTCTGTGATTGACACGCCTTTTGTTGCCCCTGCTGTGGCTACAGTCAGGCAGCTAACGGTTCTGGCTAGCTTCGCTACCTCACTGATAAAACAAAACGTTTTGGCGGCAGATATAACAACCTGTAAGGTGAGGGCTTCTTTTTGCACAGATATTTGCTCAATTTTCCTGACGTTGTTATCTTGTCGGCGAACCGTAAAAAATGTGTATTAGCATCGCGGTCATTAGCCAGCAGCTAACAAGCTAACGTCAGATAAACGCTCTGCTAGCGGACTTGATGCGAACTGCGCTGTGATCTTTCAGCGTTAAGGTAGCCTAAATCCGTATTATACGGTGTGCTCCTTCTGTCTGCAGCCCGGTGCTTCCCTTTCAATGCACGTTTTCACCAAACTAAACCAACAGTGATGCGTTTTGCAGCATAAACGGCACGTTTTGTCTCTGCGCACAGCGCCGTCCTGCAGGAGGAGGATGAGCGGGGGCGAACCGAACCCAGCTGCAGTGGCTCAGCCTGTGGAGGATGTGCACGGAGACGGACGGTGGCTGTCACAGGTACGGTTCGTGATGGAAACATTCAAAACTTCTCTGAAATGGCGCGTTTACGGTCTGGAAAGTACATTAGGCTGAACACATTAAAGCAGCAGTGAAGAAAATAAACGTTTATTTATTTATTTGATTTTAATGGTGCTGTCAGTTAATAATCTTTCCTGACAAAGCCTAAAAATACTTCTAATTATTTTTAATTTTGTCCAGATTTAGATTAAATGCTTTCGGAATCACAGGAAAATGATTACCCTTAAGTGTTCTTTAGGGGGGAAATCGACCATATAGAAAATAAAACATATCTAATGGATTTTCTGATCCCATAATTATCATATTATAAAACAATGCATTGCTTTCAGTATTGTTTTATTTTGCCTATCTGTATGTTTGACTTTTATTATAGCTCAATCATTGATGCATAGTTTTTTACATTTGAGAGCCTCTTTAAAAACCAACTTCTGGAAGGGCTACGTCTTTCCCAGCTGGATGTTGAATCCTGCCTCATCTCGTCCGACAAAATGGTTTTAGTTTGGATGTAAAGAGCAAAATCACACTTGCGTGTTGCACAAGTAACAAACATTTAGCATGAAAAAGCAGTTCCACGTGCACGCAGGCTGAAGAATGGGACGCTGCACAGCTCAGAACGGCTGACTTGACTGAAATCAGGACGTCAATAGCAAATGCTCCGCGCTGCAGCATTATGTAGGTCAGTAAAAACAAAGCAGAAATTGGCGTTGTGCAGAAGTAGAGTTTTAGATGCAAATAAAATAAAACCATCGAGAAACACGTTTAACTGAAAACAGAGCCTCATTTTCATCCACCTGATCTGAAGCGTCTTCACAAAACTCCAGACTGAAATTTTGTACAAATTAAATTTGATATTTCTTTTCAGGCGACTCTAAACGATTAAGTAGTTTATTCTGGGAAACAAAATAAAACAATATATAAATAAAGTAATTTTAAGCAGCCAAGTAAGGTGGTTGACATTTTCCCCCCGAGGAACGGGAATGGTCATAAAGTAAAATGACTTTCCAGGAGTTAACTCTTCATGTTTTGAGATCCCATCACATCTGCACCTGTGTCTGGATCGGTCTGAAACTTGATTTAAAATTGTTTTATGATGGTATAATAATCGGTCACTCCCCAGCTTGACCCATTTGCAGGACTTGTGTGTTTTCAATACAATAACTAACGGAGCTCGTTTGTTTGCACCTCCCGGCAGGTCTTTGTGAGGTTAATCTTCTGAGGCTAATGCATCTTAGACAGCCCGCTTTACTTCAAGCCCTCATCAGACGGGCCGGTAGACGGGTCATAACTGATAAGCTTCAGGGATTTGGTCTGATTCGTACGGCTCAGGGTTATTATCCGCCTGCTTTGCTTTACATAATTTATACCACAAGGTGTTTTCTAACATGATGAGGCCTGTAAAACAGCAAGTGGTCTTTATGCATCGTGTTGCAACAACGCCTGTCTTGACTTGTCTGTTTGCAGCACACAAGATTTGTACAGGAGTGCAAAGACGGGGAACCAGAAGTTCTGTTTGTCGGGGATTCTATGGTCCAGCTGATGCAGCAGTATGAGGTGAGGGTCTGCGTGCATTTTTGTGGAAAATTCTCTGAAGTTTTCTGCATTTTACCTCCAAACGTGCAAATTCTTTATTTTGTTCATTTAAAATCTTTACCCACCTACATCTATAATAACTCTTTAAAATTGCTTTCCTTGTTAAATTTGCAAAGTATTGATTTCTCAATAGAGCGGCACGGTGGCTCAGTGGGTAGAGCTGTTGTCTCTCAGCAACAAGGTCACTTGTTCAAATCCCGGCCCAGGACCTTTTTGGGTCAAGTTTGCGTCTTCTCTCCATTTATGTGTGTGTTTCCTCCCACAGAACAAAAACATGCATGTTGGGCTGATTGGTAACTCTAAATTGTCCCTAGGTGTGAGTGAGAGAGTGAATGGTTGTTTGTCGTTTGCCTCTGTGATGGACTGGAGACCTGTCCAGGGTGTTCCCCGCTGGAAATGGGCACCAGTGACCCCTGTGAGTGGGTGGGTGGATGGATGGATGGATGGATTCACAATATTATTTTCATTTTAACTCATGCTATGTCATTTTTTTATATAGAAAATGTTAGTTACTCTGGAGATTACAACAGAACATTTGTGTTGCTGTGAATCTGAGATTTCTCATAGTTTGTGCTAAAGCGTTGCTGTGAGTTTCATAAGAAGTTAGAAGATGTCACTGACAGGAATGTGGACATGTTTTCACCTTTTGTCTGTAATAAAGAAGGCTTGTGGAAAACACAGGGGTTTGATTTCTATTTACAGGTCTGGAGGGAGTGCTTCTCTCCGCTTCACGCCCTCAACTTTGGCATTGGTGGAGACAACACCTGTAATGTTCTGTGGAGGCTTCAAAATGGAGAGCTGGAGAACATCCGTCCTAAGGTGAGGACAGTCTGTTGAGACATCGGAACATAAAATCCCCTCCTGCTCACATCAGAAGTGTTTCTAATGACAACTGGGAGGCTTTTCTTCTTTCATGAAGACGTTTCAATGCTCATCTGACATGTTCAAAGTAGAGTGAGTTCCCCTGAGAAGGTCTCAGGTTTCAACTTTCCACTTCTTAGTGCAGTATCTACCCCCAGACAGTTTGACACCGACTCACAGCTTCATACATGTGACCGGAACAACTACCCTAACAACCTTCAGAAGGGAGGGACAGTGCAGTAGAGCAGCTGTGAAACTGAGATGCATCAGTTTTACATCTTTGCACCAATAAATGCTGATGGGTTTATTTATTAGACGGAGTCTGTAGGAGGTTGTTTTTATTCTACAGACGTCTGTTGAACAGTAAGAAAGTTACTTTTGAGGAATAAACTTCCTCAGGCGTCACTCTTGCTGTTCTCAGCTGCAACACCTGCTGTTGAAGAGGAGAACTACAGCAAATGTTGATCAAAATATATTCCAGAACTCATCCTTTAGAGTGCACCAAATACAGAGTGACTAAAGTCCAGTTGTATGCACTCAAACCAGATTTACCACAAGGTGTCCAGACAATATTTTATTTAGATTATTTTAGTCTTTTTGGTTTTAAATTCCCACCTCAGTTGAACGTTTTTATTATCATGACTGTTATTATAACTGCGAGGCTCATCACAGCATATTAATGTCAGTAAGCGCTTATAGTTTTCCCTGTTTTTTTAAGCAGCTAGGGCCCTTTTGTGAAAGGGTAACCTGTTTTTTAACAGTTACGTTAAAGTAAAAGTTACTTGATGCTAAATGCTAAGTGTGTGAATCCTGGCATCCTTTTATAGTGCACAACGTGTTATTGCTTTAGTAATAGTTGTTGACATCACCCCGTGTGTCTGATAAAATGTTCTCAATTTGTTCCATGTCTTCTTTTTATTAGAGTAGTCCCTCGATTATCACGGGGGTTACGTTCCACACTCCACTGCAATAGATGAAAAACCGTGAAGTAGAAACGCTGTATTTATTTTAGTATTTATATATATGTTAAGGCTTTATAAACCCTTCCCACACTCTCGTAATGTTCTAAACAATATTTTAAACTCTTAAACCTACGTAATTTTAACAACATACTAGGGCTGGGCGATGTGGACCAAAATTAATATCTCAATAATTTTCAGATGATTCATGCTATACGATATACATCTCAATATTTTTTCTTTCCATAAAGTAATAGCAAAGTCAAAGCTTTGCCCTGATTGTCACACAGACACATTTATTAACTGTACAAAATAAAAGTCTAAAAATAAACTTTACATATATTAAAGTATACATATATTAGCGTGAAGTTGGACAGGCAGAAAAAGGAGAACTACTGTACACAGAGTTTCAAGTCTTACAGTGAGAGGTGGCACGACATTAATAAAGCAGCAGCTTATCATATCACTAAAAACACGGCCCCTAGCTGCTAACATCACAACTTTAGCTGTGTTGTTAAACAGTTGAGACTGGGACCGTGTCTTTAGCGATATGATACGCTGCTGCTTTATTAACGTCACGCTACCTCACTGTTCCTGTCACAGTACAGGTAAAAGCATTTCGTACCAAAGTTTGTTTCAGGGAAGGAAGCTGGGAAGACTTCACACGGTCGGAGCTGCAGCACGAAGTTTAGCACACTCTTCATACTCCACTTTATAGCGCTGCGTTTTAAATGGTGCAAAAGGTTTGTTGCGCTTGAACCTTTCGTTGGGTCTTGTTTTCGACATTGTCTACAGAAAACATTTTTTCTGCCGCACATCTGACAAATTAAATCCGCACCATGTCCAAATAACAAAGCCATTTTTTTTTTTTCCCTGCTCACAAGCTGCTTTGTGAATGCCATGTGCTGTCCCACCTGGAGAGGCAGGAGCCGGGGGGAGTGGGGGAGGGACTGGTCTGAGAGGGAGAGAAGGGGCCGTGTGGGAGAAAGAGAAGACAGTAGGCCGATTTTCAAGTATATATAATGTTTATATCGATATAGTCTCATCTTATATGGCAAATTAAATTATCTCAATATTTTTTAAATATCAAGATATCGCCCAGCCCTACAACATACATATATGTACTGTACAGTACTGCAAAATTTTACTCACCAGCTCTGCAGAACAGCAGCTCGGTTCTGGTTCTGCAGAGCTACCCTGCAGCGACGAAGCCCACCGCCCCGGCCAGGTTGATGTGCACGTGGATAATTGAGCTTCAGGAAGATTCAGAATTATTTGTTACTTTCCTCCCAGTTCTGTGAGATTAATAGATGGTGTAGATTTGTTTAGCAAAACTTTCCCTCCATTTCATCAGAAAGCAGTGGTCGGAAACACTGTTGGTTTCTGTGTAGCGTAGTTCTTTTGACTGGCGATACAGTGTAGGCTTATTGAAAGAAAACTACAAAATGGCGGCGCCTGTCCAAAAGTATTTTTATTTTGTTAACTTTTTATCTCGTACCATCCCGATCACGTGAGTGATATTAAAGTTGACAATCGTTGAAAAACCGCGAAAGAGCAAGTCCATGAAAGTCGAACCGCAAAGTAGCGAGGGACTACAGTACACCGTGTTGGTTTTCTCAGACGTTCAGACCGGACTGTGAGGAGTAATAAACTGTCCATGTTCTTGTGAAGGTGGTGGTTTTATGGGTAGGAACCAACAACTATGGACACACAGCAGAGCAAGTTGCTGGAGGAATCCTTGCCATCGCACAGCTGCTCACCTCTCACCTTCCCAAAGCTAAAATAGTTGTGCTGGTAAGTTTGAGTGTCTTTGTTGGATTTTTAAACTGATACAGGAAGTTTGACTGAAGACTGTTTTAAAGAAAGTTCTCCTCACTGAACCCAGCGTGCCGTCCGAGTGGGAGCGCTTCCTCAGTCTGAACTGGTTATTGATCCGGTGATCAAACAGTAATGTTGTGGCTGGATATGTGATTCGCAGCAATGAATGAGTGAAAGTCCTTCAACACGTTCGCTTCTTTGAACATATTTTTTATGACCCTCAGGGTTTGTTGCCACGAGGCGAGCGGCCCAACCCACTGAGGGAGAAGAACGCCGCTGTGAACAAGCTCCTGCGCTCGTGGCTGCCCCGACTGGGCCAGGCTCAGCTCTTGGACGTGAGCGAAGAGTTTGTCCACTCGGACGGAAGCGTTAGCTCACAAGTCATGTTCGACTACCTCCACCTGACGCCAACGGGCTACCGTGCCATCGCCAAACCCCTCGGCGACCTGCTGCTTCAGATCCTGGAGGAAACGCCAGAGGAGAGAAGGGCATCACTGGTTTGAGAGGACAGGCTGCACATCCTCCTCCAGGCACCTTGTTCTCGGTACCTGGAGGAGGATGTCATCTTTTTAGAGGGAACAAAGGGTGTGTAGACATGCTGGGGGGCGGGGGGGGGGGGGCGGCGTTACTACACATAAACACTGTGATTGGAGCAGTGAGATTTAGTATTCACGAATGTCAGACTACTACTGATTCATACACAGATTTATCTCGATGTGAATAAAAACACATAAAAAAAAATGATCCTTTCAGACATGCTGACAAAATCATCCGTTCTTTTTATTAACCACAAACAGTCCAGTGCACTGCAGTCACAACTTTACCAAACGTTTTATAATGTGATTAAACAGAATATCAAAGAGCTCCTAAATTCAGAAGATGTTTTAAGAAGTAAACTTATAATTTAACAAACTTATCACGTCTAAAACTTTTTTGTTCTTTCCCTGCAACAAGAAGCCTAAAGAACTCAAAATGAAGTCACTTTATTAGTTTCTAATAGTTAATTCTGACGCTTGTCACCAAACAGTATCTAAAAACATAAACATTAGTTCAAACAGTTTGCAGCTCCGCTCTTGGTGTATCTGTGAAAACGCTCGTTGCTTCATGTCCACAGGGTCACGCAGGCGACTACACGTCCTCAGACGTGTGTAGCTCTTCACTGCATGCACGATGAACGAGCTCCGTAATGATCCGATGCATCGAGCCAGAAATAATGGGTCCTGTCTTATTTTATATGTTTGATAATCTATTCGTCTTCCAAACAACTTTAACGAGCAGAAAGCTTCTATTTCATCCAGAAACTGTAAATAAGTTGTTTTCCGAGGAGTAGTGTGTCAGAAACGCCATCGGTTTATGAGTCCAACTTGGGATGTCCGTCTCCACCATGTTTGTTCCGCCAATATTTTCTCCTGGAAGCAGATGTCGATTTGCTTCATTGCTGTAATTTATCCACTTCCATCCTGCAGTCCTCAACGCTCCATGCGCTTTAGTCAATTAAACATTTTTAGGTAAAAAAAGAAAAGCCGATCCACATGATGAAGTTGTACCTAATATTGTCGTGCGAGCTGCTATAAAACGAGTCGGATCACAGATCAGTGAGCTTCGGCTGCAGCCGCTGGGTCACTGCTCACTTCCTGTCGAGCGTCAACGGACCCAGCATCCCTGCTGTGTTCGCGCGGTGTGTTCAGTGTAAATAGTGTATGTGTGCCTTAAGTGTTCACCGGGACGGTTGTATGCAGCACGTGTGGTTCTGGATTGTGGACTTTGGATGAGCGAGTGTGTAGAAACGATCCCGGTTGTGGATCAGGACTTGAGAGATTCGTGCAAGGTCAGACTGTGAGTGTTTGTGTTTGATGTGATAAGATGCACTGGTTTGGCTTGTTGTAATGTTACATTCCAATAAAAAAATAAACCCAACTCTGTGTTGTCTATTTCTGACTAATTTAGTTTTTTGGCAACTGGAGGCGATGCAGTACATCTGGAGTATGTTACTCATTCAGCAACAAAGAGTTTCCAAGAAGTAAATTAAAGACACTAATAAGGCTCTGCTTGTTCCCTGCCTCCTCTTACCCAGAAGAGTTGCTCATTGTTTAATTTGCTTTCACCAAGTTTATCTCTAATGTAATAGTCCAGCAGCTTAGAGGCGTCGTGAACTCTGCCTTAATTGGCCTCGTTAAGCTGTTGGGGCATGCAGGAACGAACGTAATCGCTGGCAACTTGTAAAAAAAAGATCTAATTAACCATTTCCTCGTTCATTTGAACTAAAGCAGTTTATCCATCTGGAGCCCTGCAGACTGAAGGAGTGTTAATAAAAACCTGCGGTCTGAGGTGATGGGTCTGCTTTAAAATATTCTTGTAACATAAAGGGAAAGTTCAGACTTTTTAAAGTGGGGATTTGTAAACAAATGATTAAAGCAACCTGTATGGACATGTTGCCTATAAAGTGAAAGCATCTTGATGAAGAAATTTGGCATAAAACATGATTTTACACATTTTGGCATGTTTTTAATTTGGCAAGCCCAGAGTGGAAACAGGAAGTGGTCTCCCTGGTCTTTGTTTATTGAGTCAAACGATTAAAAGAAATCTGTCATAAAAATCAGATTGATCTCATGTTTTAGTTCTGGTCCTTGAGTTTTGAGGTGTCTTTATTGTTCCTGTGGCAGGAACCCCCACCAGCCAGATGGAGGTGCTTTTGAGCTCCGTCTGAACAGATGACCAGTTTCAACTAGAGTACTGACAGAACACCTCACCAGCCTCTGTGGAGCAAACACTTCTTCCTCTGATGTGATTTGAGTCCTCCTTTAGACATCATATTGGACTCAAGTCATCACCACCTCCTCCTCGGCCCTGGGACTCCTGGTCCATGGTCGCCTCGGCCTAGAGGCCTTGTTTTAGAGAGAGGGGAAGGCTGAGCCCTCAGACTCCTGAACTTTTGTTTATTTAATGACACAAATACGTTTCGACCGTTTGGGAAATCCCACTCGACCATTGAGGGCTGACACGTGAAATAAACTGGATGTAATTTAAATAAAATTAAGACATTTTAATTTTGTATTTCCAGCCCGGAACACAGTTTATTAAAACCTGTGCAACTATCATGTAGAATTTAAAGCTTTTAGTTAATTTTAAACATTTAAATGAAGTAGCTAAAAAAAACAATTCATTATTAGTTTAAAAAAATGTATTATTTTCAAACTTTTAGTTAAAATCGAGATGCAATTGACTAAAATTGTCCCAAGATGCATTCCGTATTTATACATCTCCTGACCAGGGGTTGCATTTTTATTTATTGTTTTATTTTTATTTTTTTATAACCTTTAATAAACTATCTACCTTTGGGAGAACAACAAATCTTCATAAATCATTGTCATTCACAAACAATTTGATGAAATATTTATTGTATTTAAACACCAAAGTTTAGTGGATTCAGTAAGTTTCAGTTTTCAGTGTGGGGGGGTGGTTTGTGTTGGCACTTTTTCTTCTCACAGTGTTATTAAAAGCCTACGGCAGATGATGACATCACGTGTTTCAGGTTTCAGGACAGGTTGGGTCTACAGTTCTGTAATCAAACCTTCATCTTCTGCAGCCACGCCTCAAGGTGTGCAGAATGTGCTTTTACTTTGTCAGCTTTATATTCACACCTAAATGCAGCTCATTCTGTTGTCTTGATGCAGCACGTTTCTCTGAAATCTCATGAATTAACTCTGATCAGTGTTCCAGTCTGGGTAACATTATTTTTAAGCAGTTCCTTCCATTTTCTTTGGATCACCTGGCATTACACTCTCCTGAGGGAGAAATATGCAAACATTTAATATTTCTTTGAGAAATAATATTTTTAAACATGTCAGCCAGGTTTTTTTTTATATGTATATGTATCCTGACAGGTTCAGAATCTTTTGTAATCTTCTAAAAAAACTCACTTGTTGGCCTCATTTGTTTGAGATTAAATCATGTTGATGTGTTTCCAGTGATTTTATCATGCTCTGCCAAAGGCAAGAGACATTTGATGTCTGTGCCTGTTTACAAAATATCTTATTAACTTGCGGACAGATTTTGATAAAATCTCAGAAACTGATTACCAGTAACTATTAGAGTCAGTTTCAAGTATCTTTATTATCCCCAAGGGGCAATTTGTTTTGCAGTCAGTAGGCACATAAAACCTCCATACTGAACAAGATATTAAGACGTTACAGTACAGAAAGCATCACTGTTCACTGAGAAGCCTGATAGGGATGAATGAGTTTTTCACTCTTTGTCCTACATCTGTGCAGCAGATACCTGCGTCCAGATAGAAGCAACCTGAACTCACCATGGAGTGGGTGATCAGGATTTGCCAGCATCATCCTGGCCTTGTTCACTGACCTCATCTTGTGTAGGTCAGTGAGGTTCTGTAGGGCCTGCAGTTTTGCTGCACATCCTGACAATCCCCAAGAGTTTCATGTTTTTGCATGTCCAAAGTCCAAACCAACAGATGAAGATGAAAGTTAAAAGAGACTCAGTAAGTAACACATTAATAAAACATTCTCATAAAAGTAGGATCAACATTAAAACCACAGAGCTTCTGAAAAAAAAAAATACATTCTCTGGTGGGCCTTCTTACAAAGTGAGTCCGTATGGGGGTCAAAGGTCAGTTTGTCATCAAGAACAGTTCCTCAAATATTTATAATGATGCAACAGCTTCACCGTTAATGACCACAGGATGACAGATGAAGAACCTTGAATCCTTGAGTGGCAACTGAAGAGTCTTCTAAAATATCTGACCATCTCCTTTGTCTTAGAAACATTTCACTTTACTTTAAAAATTCAGTGAAGTCCCTGACCACAGGCCCGGGGTCTGGGTCATCACTGCTGAGAAGGGACAGGATGACTTGAACAATGCTCATTATTATTGTTGTTTTTAATTTATTATTTTTGGTTTACTTCATGTGAGGTGGAAACAATCAGTAGAACTAATGTGAAGCTAAACGGCATTAGTTCAGTCACAGACCTTCAAACCTTTGAATAGTACTTAGAATGCTCAGTTTTAAGACATATTTGTATTTTTGAATCTGTACATATTAAATCAGAAGAATTTTAGAGAAATATACCACTAAGTTAATTTTTGATATTGATCAACTGTGAGTTCATCCATCTTCTATTTCCAGATCCAAGTCAGAGTCTTTCTGTTTTTAGTTGCTAACTTTAATACAAATATGTGCAAAATGGAGAAAAAAGTCAACATATGGAGAAAACCCATTACATCATAATAAGCTCAAAAGAGGTAATGATTTTTTTAAAGTCATAACAAGGAGAAAAAAATACAAGACAAAACAGATTTTAATTTTTTTTTTACTGATAAAAATGTCAAAATATCTACATTTTAAATGTTTATATTTAATAAGCTTCATATTCTGGTTGATTTGCACCATTACAGTTACATTTGTCTTCATAGCATGTTTATTTTCTGATAAACCACTAAACTAATTTTAACAAAACTCATGAATGGATGCAACTGATTGGTTTTTGGAGTCCATCTGATTTCCCCCCCCCCCCCCCCCGCTGCCCTTGGATAAAACTGACCCTACGAGGCCCTCAACTCTAAAACTGAGACCTTC